CCAGAAGCTCACTTGCTTACCTCCCTAGGCCGGCAAGTACCCAGGTGCGACGAACGGTTCTTTGCTTGTGTATAGGTGGCTGCGTCTTCTCGGCCGTCGATGTGGCTTAGTGGTCTGTCTTGGCAAAATTGTCCCTCTGAGATACAAGGCACTATGCGCTCGCCATGGTTGACGACAGCACCTGGAAGTACCTACTTGCCCTTGCGTGTCTCGTGCTAGTACCTCCCTCAGGCACACCACTGGGGGGCTTGATCCACTGAGGAGATCGACACCTGCCTGCCCACCCCCCGATCCACCCCTCTCTCCTTCTCCTACTCCCCATTAATGGTCCAACCCGGGCACATATTAGTTATCCACAGGAACCCAACTGTTCCATGTACTCATTACAGCAGACGCACTCTCGCTGTGCTCACACGCGTCCCTCTTTCCCTACATCGTGATGCTCTGTATTGCTTTCTGTCGTCCAGCAGTGCAGGGTGGACTAGTTTCATGGGATGATCGGCGCAGGCTCGCCTTCTCTTGCCGACGAGGAGCTTTATGCACAGAAGGCATCAGGCATTGCCGAGAAGCATAACAAATATTCTGCGCTTCCGCTGAAACCCGACCAGGAGGCACATACACCACCTATACACGCGCATCCTCTGAAAACAGTTTCAATGCTGCGGGAAGGGGGGGGGGAGGGAGCTGGTGAAAAGGGGCCCATTTCCTGCGCACATCCACTGCAGCACCACGGTGCCGGGTTGCCGGGCCACTTCTTTGCTGTATCAACTGGATGAGCACGGTGCCTGTTCTCAGTCCTCCAGTCTGTCCCTCGTGCGTCTGCTTTTGCGGCTATCGGCTCCCCTCTCCAAGTCCAGGTTCAAGCTTGGGTACAAGCTCCAAGCAGCTCTGACGAATAATGCCCGCTGTTCTTGGGTCTAGCGCCTGAGACCGGCCGGCACTTGTCATGACGGAGCCTAACTCTAAAATCGACGCTGGCTGTCAACATTGGGGCCAGCACTCGGAAGACGAACCCGGTAGGTTGCGCTACTGCCACGGTTACTGTGAATGCAACGCTGGCTTGGGCTGCGGCATATTCGCCTCCCCCTCCCTCCTCTCCTCTCCCAACGCACCTCTTTCTTCGATCCACCCGCCCTCCCATGTAGGGCTCATGTGTCCCCAACGTACACGCTACCTGGATAGATGCCTTGTTGGGTACTGGGCCATGTGTTGCTGCTGTCAGTGCCTGCTCAGGTACATTAGGTCTCGACCTCACATCTCCGGGAGGGTGGGTGTTTCGAGACGGAACGTGATCAAGGGGACGCAGGGGACCTGGAGATCCTAGGAGTGGTACAACTAGTAAGTGGACCACCCACTGTGCACCAAAGCCAGGCCACAAGGCCGCCAGGACGGCGGATCACTCTCTTGTCTTTCTCTCGAATGCATTAGGTGCATCGTGTCCTTCGATGTGCTCCTTCATTTCATATCCGTCACCAACTGGCATGTTCCGAGATAGAGAGGATCCCGGCAAGGCCAACTTCTAGGACAGGGTAATTGGATGCCCTAGACGGACCACCAGCATGGCAGCCCTGCTGGTGTTGGAATCAACCGCAGGCGATTAGGTGGATATGGAACCAATGGTGCCAGCACGGAGCAGGCTCCGAGCCCTGCTCAGTCGGATGTATTTTGGTGCCGAGAAGGCGGTGCCGTGACAAACCCGGGGCTTTTTTTTCTTTCATTTGGTCCATGCCAGCCCCAGTCTATGCCAACTTGTCGATATTGGTTTTCGTTGCGAGGTCGTTCTGCTCGTGATCCTCATTTCGAATCCAAGCCGGTGGGTTTGTCGAGTTTTGACACGAGTATCCACCCTCGCACCAGACTACCAGGGTAGCGTCCGCCTGCCATTCAGTCGTGCAGCTGAGGAGTCGAGATATAGAAGAACGGGTGCCCTGGTAATTATGGATGCAGCATGCCCATCTAATGGCTGTGGATATGTACGACTGTCAGTGTGGTCTTTGGCCTACCTCGTCGTCCTGGTCGGCTTGTCACAGGCCCTGTCACGTTTAAGGTATGGGCAGTCGTACATGGTACTCGCAAAGATCGAGCACGTCTGGGCCACACAAGCGTGAGCAAGCGCCATTCCAGGAATGTCACCCACCCCTTAGCGAGTAGGACCTTGGCCCGCCTCTCCACGAGCCTTCACGAACCGCTGTCAACAAGCTACTGTGGACTCGTACACCCTTAAGGGCAGGCAGCTACTATCTAGGCGGTCTGACAAGCTGCGGGGTCTGTACGTTTCGACGCTAGTCTGCACATGCGCCCGCGAGGCTGCGCCCTGCGCTCCCTGTCCCTCCCCACTTTGCAGGGACTCAGATGTACATGTACAGTAATGTCCTACGGGCAGGGATATACCGTACAAGTACGTACATGTAGGTGGAAGGTACATGCAGCAAGGAGGAATCGTTTGTTGCCTCAGCCCCGGGGGAGGAACTGGAAAGGCTTGTCTCGCCTCGCCGTGACATTACCTCTCACCTGTTCAGAACGCCGCGTACCCTCGACCTAGCACTGATTACTTTTAGTATCCTTGCCGAACTCGCTGACCCTGAAAACGATCTCAATCATCTGGGACGGGTAGCATGGGTCCTATTTGTGTGCGAGTATGAACATCAAGAGGCCACGCCCAGCCCTGGCCAGCTCGCTGCCTTGCTCTGTCACCTGTAGCGGCGGGCTACGTGAGTACCATGTAGGACAATCACAATGCCATCATCGGGTGCCCAGGTTTGTACTGTACGTAATGCTTGAGCACAAAAGCAACCCAAGCAAGGATACATGTCCTCCCACCGCCATAAAGACGTAAGTCGGTCCTCCCTTTCGTTTCGGGCATAATATGTGCCTCATGTTAACTACACTGCGAGACAGCCTAATAGCGCTTCATGAAGAGCCACGGTCGATCAGCAGCCGTGTCATTCGATGAAGTGCCATAGGCCCTTGACGGTGCTACCATGGGTACCGGCACCGCTCCTCGAAATGCCTCGAGCATCTTCCCAGCCTCGCCTGCACCGCTAAGCCCCCCGCTTGAACGATCGCCTGTGGTCCGAGTGGGGACGAGGACGCCGCATTCCCAGTTTCGGCACGTGAGTTTTGCCCTGCCGGATCCCCGCTCTTTTGTGAGTCGACCCCTGTAGAAGATGTCCAAGTCAGTCAGGGGCGAGACGCGTACACTGTACGTCCAAGTGTGGCATGCTGCGACTCACCACGCGCTTTCCGACAAGTTGGCACTCCCGACGTAGGCCCATCCCGCTCCTGGGTCGTCTTGGCCACCTGTACTGTTGGGCTGCACAAAAATGATTTTGTCGTGCATGAGAACTCCAGGCCTTGTACTGATCGAATCTCGAAGCATTTCTCGTGGGAACGTTGCAGAGCCCCACCACTTCTCTTGGAAACAGATTGTGCCGCCAGCCTATGGCACATATAGTTAGCCGGAAATGACCCATGGACGTCGGCGCGAGCACTTTTCAGTCGAGCTGAGTTCACTTACAGCCTTGCCGCCTCGGCTTCTCGCGACTGTGTCTTCCGTGGGAAAGTATATCCGCATCTTAACCCCGAGCGCCTTCTGGCTATCTGTCGCATTGAGTGCGGTTTTGGTGTTCCGCCGGCTGGGCTGGTTCCCTCCATCGTTTTGATCTTGTTGAGCCTGGTGGAAGATAAGATCCTCGTGAACTCAAGGAAGAACAAGTCTCCGTTTGACGTACCTTGACACGCCGTGTATATCGTCTTGATGAACGAATTATCGATCGAACCCAGTGATGACGTCTGTAAGTATGAAATCGTCAGTTTTGTCCATTGAAAGACCTCTTTGAATGCCTGGGGTCATGTTTCCTTACCACATAGTCAACTGTGATAGGCTCATCGGTTGACAAGCCCAATGAATGCACGGCACGGCTCAAACCATGGTATCCTACGCCAAGTTATCAGAACCCAGTAGTCAGTGCGTCTTGTAAGAGGCATCACGATGTAGACAGGATGTCCTACCTGTCTCCCCGGATAGTTGGTCCGTGTGGCCTCCAGCACTGCCAGCATCAGTCAGCACAAAGCAATGATACGAGGCTCCAAGCCAGAGCATGAATCTCGCAGGGAAGATGCAGCGCAGGCCGTGATGGTCCGTGAAAGCTTACATGGTGTGAATGAAACGGAAGCGCTCCGTCTCAGTGAAGTCGAAGTTATCGAGGCTCTTGACCAGACTTTCGTCCAGTCCCTGTGCCCGAAGGAAGCGTCGCAGCTCGGTGCCAAAGGAAACTCCCGCGGCATCATTTCCTCGGATTGCATCTCCATCACCTGACGCTTGAACGATTCGTGGGAGATCAATAAGAAAAACCATCTATACTGTCAGCAGACTGATCCGTAGATGGAGTGTGAGGCCGGAGCTTTTTGATGGAACATACGTTCTCGAGTACTCCCGTCTCTCCCCAGTCGTAAGGGACCAGGTTACCAGATGGCACAACAATGCGCAAGTGACTGACAATTGTCAGTGAATCGTGAGAAGTATATGTGCGGAGAGGCCAATCGATTACTTTTGGTACTTCAACAGTTGCAACTTTGAGTGCATACAGCCAATGCCGTACATGGGAGGAAAGCAGAGTTTGATTCGGCTGCTCGGTACGCTGGCTCTCAATGTCTCTTGCTGCTATATGGTCAGCGACTGAACTCTCGACCTCTTGGTTGAGAGCACGCCGAACATGGGTCATACCTCGGCACCGTTCTTTGCATACGCAATGAATACCATTCTTGTTCTGGCAGTGTCGACTTTGGAAAGTAACCAGGGCTCATCCCATTGGAAAGATGACACGACAGCTAGCTCGAGCTTGTCCTTCTCGAGGACTTCTTCAATCTTGATGTCGTCATTTGTGCGCGGAAAACCATGCACCCACGTCCTTTTGACGACTCCTCTCGGGAAGCGTAGCTCCGGTACTTGGCGCGTGACTTGATTTCTATTCGAGGTCGTGACACCCATTAAAATCGAAGCTGACGCATCCTGCCTCAATGTAGTTGGATCAGTCGATCCTGGTGTTGCTGGTATTTTCAGTCGTTTGCCTTGCGGCCCATCAAGCGAGGCATCTTCAGCCGTTCGTTTGCGAAGCCGCTGTAGGCGCGCCTCTTCCATTTTCTTCCTATCCAGCAACCAGGAGTCCGGACCGACGACCTTGACTACCTGGTCTAGAGTCTTGGTGCCTTTGGGTGTAGGCTTCTGCTCCGAGGTTCTGGGCTTTTCTGCTTCCTGCTTTAGAGATGATGCGATAGCAGCTTTGAGGGCCTCGTCTTCGTCATAATCGCCGTTGACATCTTGGTAGGGAGTTTCTTCAGGTTGCTGGTTTGGCGACGGTGACGCCATCTTTGGGTTTGGATTTCCCGAGAGCTACCCCTCGTTCTCGAAAGGTTCGTTGAATGGCAATGATGGGTTATGGCTTCTTCCTTGCCTACGAGGGAGGCCGGCAAAATTGGACCAGGCGTGCGAGTACTTCGGTATTTGGGATAGAGCACTATGAGCTCTACCAGCACTCAAAACACGCTGACCGGCAAAATGATTCTTTGGATTAAATGACCTTGGTTTTACGCGCGACAGACCAAGGCCACGTGCGAGGTTCGGATGAGAATTCGTGACCCTTGGCGGAGGTGGTCTACACGTCCTTACACCTGCGCCACACCAAACGCGACTTGACCACGAGACCACGTGACATCGTATCTGCCTAATATCAAAGCAATTCTTCGCATTCACAGGGACAGGGGAAATTGTCCAATGCCTTCGACGTGATGGCCCATCAATGCACTGACCAAGCGCTAAGTCATTAGACTGCAGTGATCTTACAACGAATACATTACTAACATCATACGACTTAAAACAGTTTGTCAGGCGTTCACAACGCCCAGAGGGGAAGAAATTGGTAAGGATTGTATACAGTGGTAGTTTCGCTGTCCTTGTCATGATCTGACCATCGTGTGGCTAATGTGCACAAGCGAGCACAAAGGAGACACGCTGTACGGTGCGCCCTGAAACCATGTACCAAGCCTTGCCTGGTTGACGTTCCCTCAAAGTAGCGAATCCGGGTCTCGGATGTACGAGATCAATCCGACGCCGGCAACCATGGTCCTCCCACGCAAGCCAAAAAAAAAACATCCTTAACCCTTGCACCGCAGTGAGAACAATCATGTGCTGCAAAGCTTTCCCGCGAAGACTGTCGTAAATGAACAGAGACATGAAATCAAGAGGTCCCAATCAAGACAATTTAAGAATTCGCCTCAAGTCATCCTCCATTGCTAGCAAGCCCCGCAGGCCGGCTGGCAGGCGCGGAAGAACTCACGAGGGCCTCATTTGGGAGGGCTGAAGATGTCGTTTCTGAGCCCGAATTCTTGGGGCCGAACAGATATTTTTTCAGGGCTTCTGTTGGATCTCCGTGAAGCTGCGACGGCGAGACTCCATTGTTTGTGGGTTCTGGGACTGGGCCGCCTGCTGCGCGTATGCGATCTTGATAGGGAGTGGAAAAGGCAGGCCCAACCGGCCGTCCTGGAACACCGTCAAGCTCTGCCATGGGGATACCGGATGAGGAACGCTGCGAAAAGGCTTGTCTCTGGGCAATCCGTAATGCTGTCGGGGCATTGTTTGAGATCCTTGGGGCATAGCGTTGGGAGAAAACAGATGTCGGCTGGTAGAAGCATCGCTGACGAAGCTAGGGCGACGAGCCTTCTCCTTCTCCGCACGATCGGCTCTGAACATAGCCTCCAGTGGTGACTCACGCGCCTCGTTGGCTAGTGGCCGCCGCGGAGTCGGCATTTCTGGCTCTGTAGCGGGCGGAGATGGCTGCTGCTGGGCGTCTGGCGGCGAGTCTGCGTACTAGGCGATCCAGCAAATGGCTTGTAGAAACTTGGTATCGGCAAAGCAGATGGTGCCGGAGAAGCGTGGAACGTAGCGCCAGCGAAAGCGGCTGAAGACGGTAGCCTGGGTACGGCGGCGCTGTTCGGAGTGGTCTGGCGCACAGTTCGTGCGAAGTCGGGAGGAGGTGTCGATGCTGGGACGAGCCTGTTGTGACTACTGATGATGGCATTTGATGTGATCGCGGCGCGCGGAAGCTTCGCAGAGCCTGCTGAAAGCGACAGCTGCATATCAAATGCGGGAGAGCCGACTTTGAGGTGTGGACGGTTGAGGGCCCTGATCATATCCATCTTCGAAGTCACTGGCAAGTCGTTCTCAGATGCATACATCCTCTGCAAAGCGGGTTTGCCGTTATTTCGGGCGGCGCGACGGCGCGACGGCGTAGGTTTTGCCTGCTCCATTGCTGTACTGGATTTCGGCGCAGATGTTACAATATTTGATGGTATGGAAGAGCCAAGTCCGCCAAGAGAAGGCAAAGGTCGCGCGAGGTGACGGAACTGACGTTTTGGGTGTTAGCAGGCGCCTAGTTCGTGAGGGGGAAGCCAGCCTCGGGCGCGCGTTTGTTGCGCCAGTTGGCAATGCACGTGCGTGTTATGGGATGCCCAGCTGATGTCGAAATGAGATGGATATGTCGGTGATTGTGATGTAGGTGCAAAGAATCCGGATCATGGTGGAGAGGCAAGACGTTGGGTTGGAGGCAACCCTTGACACAGAAGTAGGCTGTGGAAGTAGCCAAGCAGCCCTGTTGGTTGACGAAAGCGGATGTTGAACGCAGATGACAGGATGTGCATGTGTGTAATGTGGGCCGAGGGGTAAAGTAGGCGGTACGCTGGCTCAGCTTGGTGACGTGGGTTAGGAGCAACGCTGGCACGGCACGTGATCGACAGCCAACCTTGCCGTCCGCTCCCCTCGACCAAGCAACTGTCTGTGGAAAATGCACAGACCGCCATTCTGCCCAAAGGTATTCTAACTCATCTCTAGTAAGGTACACAAAGCAACAACCTCTCGTCATCGAGCACCTGGGAAAATGAGACCATGAGGCGGTTGTAGCCTATAGACATACGCACTATACAAATAGCATGCCTGCTAGCAAAAGGGCGTGTGTTCTGGGTACCTACCTGGGTCAACAAGCAGGGACGTTGGAATTGGAAGGTCTAGTTTTGGCACTGTGCTCTGAGCACCCTATTGGGTAGGCGATCAGTTCAGGTTCCCGCCACCCCTCCAAAGAGAGTACCTACCTTGAGTAGTAGTTACCAAAGCAGGTGCCTCCATCCAACTTGCCCGAAAAGCGTCTCCTCGAACACCCCAGCAACATTCGACCAGACAAGCTTTTCTCTTGCTACCTACCTACCTAGGTACGTCGGCTCAGAATTCCGTGACTTGACCCGTCCTTGTCCCTTCCTTGCAGGCGTCACGCCGTCCGACAGCAGCTGGCAATCGTCCCCCGCGGTGTCGCTCCGAGCTTAGCTTACCGAGTTGTCTAGACCTTGAGGGAACTTCCTGGACTCTGACTTCGATCTATACCGCTCTCCATCCAACGACCAAATTCACACGGTTCTTGTCACAATATTCGTATCACACTTCACGGCAACTTCAACTCTATCGAACGCATTATCAACCCCCGCGGAATCACTAGCGAGTCATGGCCGACGTGGACATGACGGACGCTCCCGTCCAGGCAGTCGCTACGAAGAAATCCAGTGGCTCAGAGGGTAAAGCCACCGATGGAAAGAAGCGCTTTGAGGTCAAAAAGGTCGGGCCGGACAGTCTTTGCAGACAGCACACACTTGGCTGACTTACGATGATAGTGGAATGCTGTTGCGTTGTGGGCTTGGGATATTGTTGTCGACAACTGCGCCATCTGCAGAAACCACATTATGGATCTTTGTAAGTTTGATATCTGGCAGGGACAGACGTGGCTCCGACAAACTTTCAAGACTGGCCCGCTAACAGCAATGGTCTCATCCAGGTATCGAGTGCCAGGCCAACCAGGCCTCGGCGATTAGTGAGGAGTGTACGGTGGCTTGGGGGATATGCAACGTGAGCAGTGCCCGCTCCCCGGACTGCCTCATGTTATGGAGGGGTGTCGCTGACGAAGCTATAGCACGCATTCCACTTCCATTGCATATCGCGATGGCTCAAGACTCGACAAGTATGTCCTCTGGACAATCGTGACTGGGAATTTCAAAAGTATGGCCGTTAAGGAGAGACGGGGATTTGCCCAAGGGCCCGTCGGCGGGAAGCACGCAGGCAGGGAACGTACATCCGATGGGGCGGCGGCAACAATGGGAGGTGGAAACAACGAGGGCTGAAGAGCATGATATCATGGACCAACAGCCAGCACGAATAGCGCTTCTGACACCACGGAACTCGCGTACTTTGATATGAACCATTGTCATCATCTCATCCATTTTACTCCCGCTCGTCATCCCGTCTTCTCCACGACTGTGGTGTCGCCGACAGCACCTTGTGGTTCCAGCCACTTCACTGGGTGCCGGTTGTAGAATGGCCAAGGTGGCACGACAACAAGGAACGTCAAGGCCGTGCCGCCAAGCCCAATGTAAACAGCCAGCTTGATATCTTGGAGGATGAAGCCGACGACAAACGTGAGTACCTGAAACACAAAGACGGTGCGATCAGCGAATGGTAGCCATCAAGGTTGGTCTCAGGCAGCAAAGACGAGACGTACCCCGAAGGCAGAGAGCAGAAAAGTAGACAAGAGCTCGGCCTTCTTTTGTCCTTCAAAGTCCTGTTGGTAACACAGATGGGTCAGCGGGAGGGAGCGCCAAGGGTTGGACTGATCCGCCTATGACAACATACAATCTGGCCCTCGGCGAGATCCCGAACTTGGTCCAGAATCTGTTCAGCCATGGCGATGCGACCTTGCGTCAGGCAAGATCGGGAGTTGTCCGTAGAAAGTGGACAAGAAATGGTGATACAACGAGGAGCCGGGCGATCAATTCAAAGTGTTCCTCCCAGAAGTGCCCGGGATAGCTTGAGAATTGAGAAGCGGATGCAACAGCCTGTATCGCGATGCGGTCGCAGGATGGGCGTGCTGCAACGTGGTGTTCCTTAGGTAAGCGATGCTTGTGATGCTATCGGGACGAGTGGCTACCTTGCCTTGGGTGGTGCACAGTATGAATTCGAGCCGACGGAAGCCCATAATCATTCCTCCCACCAAAATGACGACGCATCGGACATGTTCCGAAGCATGCCCCAACCGCGGAACCTGCCCGAGAGCCTTACGCAAGTTAGGCAGTTCCTGACTAAATTTTCTGGCCTCCCACCTCTTGGGAGAGGGATATCAGCCCCAATGAACGACGTCCATTCTTTGACTTCGACATTTCGTTGCTTCACCTTTCCCACTCTCCTCCTTTCGTCTGCACCCGCCCAGTCTCTCAACCTCAACTGCAAACACAACAACCGCATCAGTTACCAATTCATTCGTGTCTCCAATTCACGCACTCCTCGGTTTTATCGAGTCTAGGGAAGGTCAAGCTCGTTATTTGGCACTCTGACTTTGGTCCAAAATCACGATCACCTCATCACTACATCTGAACTCTTCTGGCTTCACGACGCCCACCCGCCCGCGTCGAATTGAACACAGAAGGTCGCAAGACCCAACAACACATCTCTAGTCGTCAGAACACCACCAAGTTGGCTTCACTCGCCCCGCTTCAGCTCTTCCCTACCCGTTCGCTCCTAGGTCCTGGATTCTGGGTCTACAGTGGAGTGAACAAGAAGCCGCCTTAAGTAAACTTTGCCCGACAATCGCGACCAAACTCTGCAGCGACAAAACCAAGCACCCTGACTGTCGCCTCGGCAGAATACGACGCCTGCCTTGGGTCTGGACAGCGAAACATATCCACGATCTATGCGCGCAGTGCGCTACAGCTGTAGCCAGCTACCCGGCAGCGATATTCGCTTCGGCTAGTCAAGTTATGGGAGCCAATATCTGAGTTCAGACGCAGGGGCTCCTGCCGGCACAATTCGATCAAGCGCTGCTTAATTGTTAGATTCCATCTTTAAAACACCAACTCTCACGACCCCAACTCCAACTCCGACCCCATCTGGTTTAACAAAATGTCGGATCACGAGGAAAACGGCTCCGATGTGGGCTTCAAGACGCCTATCCCTGAGCTGGATGACCACAGACATCAACCACCCTCTTCACAGCAACATGAGCGGGTCCGTCGAGGTACCTTCGATTCGCTGTACGGTGCTCGTCTTCTGGCCGCCGACGATGATCAGGCACCGGACAATTCCAAAAATCGACTAAAAAGCTCAGAGGAGGCAATCTTGGACGACGAGATCGATCAGGCATCACCCACTACCCGGCGCCCTCGGCGGCCTACGGTGGAGACTATTGGCGAGCAGCGTTCGATCTCGCCTCCCAACTCTGTCAAGGCCTTTGCCGAAGCTCGCCGTCGCGAACGTGAGATGTCGTTTTCGGAACCGAGACCTGAGGAAACTGAACTACATCGAGCTATTTCCATTGCCAGTCGTCGAAGCAGGCCGCGCACTGTGGATGATGACGCCGTCAGTATGGACTCGAATCACACAGCCGAGGAAGACGTTTGCTTTCCACTTCAGGACAAGGGCAGGAAGGATCAGTTGTACATTGATTTCGACTACCTGGAGAACTTCTTGCAGTCTGAGTCTGCTGCACGTGCTCTCAGCAAACAGGAGACTGTGGACAGAAGCTTTGCGGATTTACGACCCCAAGGTTCCAGCTGCGCCCTGATGGGATCCAGTTGGCCACTCTAGATGGAGACATCCTTGACATGCCCTCCGAGTCATCGATGGCGGACGACAACAAAGAAAAACCCACTCTGGCTGACGAGTTAAGGGCTCCTCAGCAGCCGTCCATTGATAAGAACCGTTTCAGCTTCTTCTCCTCGGCTTGGGAGTCCACCATCCATGCTCAAGACTTTGGTGACCTGGTTCTACCAGGAGAGGATGTTCGGGGGTTGTTTGCTTTGCCGCCAAACGAATCAGACGGTGTCTGGTGGCTCAATGTCAACAACCCAACAAAAGAAGAAGTCCAAGCCATTTGCAAGGCATTCGGGATCCACCCTCTTACGATTGAGGATATCACCACTCAGGAGGCGCGCGAAAAGATCGAGCTTTTTCCTTCCTACTACTTCGCGAGCTTTCGCTCGTTTCAGACAGTAGAAGAAGACGATGGGCAAGAGTATGAGCCATTCAATATCTACGTTGTTGTGTTCAGAGAAGGGACTTTGAGCTTCAGCTTTCAACCAAATGCTCATGCTTCCCACGTTAGGAAGAGGATTGCTTTGTTGAAGGATTATGTTGCTCTCAGCAGTGACTGGATTTGTTACGCGATGATGTAAGTCCGTCTGTTGCCGAGAGCATTACTCCCTAGCGACGCTAATCGTTGTCTTCTTATTCATCAGTGACGACATTGTTGATTGCTTTGCGCCAATCATTCGAAAGATTGAGCTGGAGGCTGACTCGATTGAAGATGAAGTCTTCGTCATTCGCGAAGGCGATTCAAGCGTCTTCTTGCGGTCCATCGGGCGAGTGTGCAAGAACTGCATGGCATTGATGCGTCTGCTTGGAGGAAAGGCTGACGTACTCCGTGGTTTCACCAAGCGCTGCAACGAAAACTACAAGGTGACACCTCGGATGGATATTGGCTTGTACCTCGGCGATATACAGGATCACGTGGTCACGATGGTCACAAACCTCGGACACTTCGAGAAGATCCTGTCTCGTTCTCACAGCAACTACCTTGCACAGCTATCCATCAACAACATTGCACAGGGAACAGACACCAACCGGGTGCTGAGCAAGATCACATTTCTTGCCTCAATCCTGGTGCCGATGAACCTCGTAAGTGGCTTGTTCGGCATGAATGTCCGCGTGCCTTTCCAGGATGGTCCGAACGTGATTCCATTCTTCACCATTATGGGCAGCCTGTTCTTCTTCTGTATCGTCATCTTGGTATGGGCTCGCAGAGCCAGGTACATATGACGGCATGGTAAGAACCCGATACATCTTCCAGCTTAGTTCGTGCACACACACACACACACAATGATCCGGCACACGAGGGTTTCAACTGCTTGATGAAAATTAGAAACGCTTTCCTAGGTATCAATATATACGCTCTTAACAAAACCAAAGAAACTCTGTCTGCCAGGCTGAGGACCAGGGCAACGTAGATGTGACAACAATTCAAGACATGCACACTCAGTATAGGGCGTGCTGCGTTCTCATCCAATCTCTCCATGTTTTTGTTCTTGCTTTGGAATACCCCTAATTGCGCTTCACAGACACTGTTCAGTTCCACTGCTCATGATTCCCACACCACAGAGTTCAGGTTTGTCATGACGCAAGCCTCACCGTCTCGCTTCACAAGCCGCCCAATTCGGGAGACCTGTTCACCCGCAGCCTCCAACGCTGCTACAGTATCCTGTATTTGGTCCACGCCGACAGCCACCACCATACCGATGCCCATGTTGAATGTACGGCACATTTGAAGCGCCTCAACATTACCGCTGATCTTGAGCCACTTGAAGACGGCCGGCACTTGCCATGACGTCAAGTCTATCTCGGCAGCGAGTTCGTCTGGCAGCATGCGAGGCACGTTGTCGATCAGACCTCCACCGGTGATGTGTGCGAGTCCCTTGACAAGGCCCTTTTCGACAACTCCGCGCAAGCTCTTCACATAGATTCGTGTTGGTGTCAGCAGATTCTCGCCCACGCTCCGACCTTGGTCCCAAGGCGCCTGGTCGGAATATTGCAGTCCTTCGCGTTCCACAATTTTGCGAACGAGTGAGAACCCATTCGAGTGCACACCACTTGAAGCAAGTCCCAGAAGAACATCTCCCTGTGCCATGTCCTGAGTACGCGGAAGTCGGTGGCGGCCAGTCATGACGCCAACGGCGCAGCCCGCCGCATCGTAGTCATCTTTCTGGTACATGCCTGGCATCTCAGCAGTCTCTCCGCCGACCAGCGTGCAGCCAGCATCGATGCAGCCCGCCGCCACACCCTCAACGAAGGATGCCGCCGTGCTGAGGTCCAGCTTGCTGCAACCATAGTAGTCAAGGAACATGAGAGGTCGCGCACCCTGAACCACCAGGTCGTTCACATTCATGGCGACCAAGTCGATGCCCACCGTGTCATGTTTGCCCATCTTCTGCGCAATGAGCAGCTTGGTACCCACGCCGTCAATGGCACCAACAACAATGGGAAGCTGACCATCTTCCATCTGAATGCCACACTTGGCCAAATCTACCTCACCTCCAAAGCCTCCAATCTCAGCATCTGCACCAGGCTGTCTTGTGGCCCTCACAGCCTTCTTAATACGCTCCACAAAATCATTGCCGGCGTCGACGCTCACGCCGGCGGCGGCGTATGTGAGCGCCTCCTTAGCCCCGGTCTTGTTTCGGAAGGCACGGTGAGCGATGTCCTTGCGGTAGTACATCTTGTCAAACTGGATCAGCTTGATATCCTCCTGGTATGCCTTGTTGACCGCTGCCTCTAGGGACTCGGCAGCCGTCGCGTTGACGGCAATAACCCGACCGCCCGCAGTCTGGAGCTGTCCTTCCGCCGTGAGTATTGTTCCGGCGTGGAAGACGGTGATGTCAGGCGAGCTTGACGCCTGCACATTCATCGGCGTGCCCTTGGCGTAGGCGTCGGGATAACCTCCAGCAGCGACAACGACGGTAGCGCTGAATTTTGGCTCGATCTTCACCTTGACGCAATCTAGGCGAGCTTCGTGCGCCGTGCATGCGAGCATGATTTCGGCAAGATCGGTATCGGCAGACAGAAGCGGCAGGACAGTTTGCGTCTCTGGGTCGCCGAAGCGGACATTGTATTCAAGAGTCTTGGGTCCGTCAGGGCCGATCATGAGCCCAGTGAACAGGACGCCCCTAAAGGGCATGCCGTCTTGGCGCATGCCTCGAATGGTAGGCTGCACAACCTCATCTTCGATGCGTTTAATCAATGCATCCGTGGCAATAGTGGTGGGTGCGTAGCAGCCCATACCGCCGGTGTTCGGGCCCTGGTCTCCATCTCCGATCCGCTTGTGGTCTTGCGCCGGAGGCAGCGAGATGGTGTGGGTACCGTCGCTGAAAGTGAGAATGCTGAGCTCGTCGCCGGTCAGAAATCTTCGATGACAACCTCCTGTCCGCATCTCCAAAAGCCTTGTCGACCATGATCTGCTTCAGAGCAGCCTTCGCCTCGTCTTTGGTAGCCGGGATAATGACGCCCTTGCCGGCGGCGAGTCCGGTGGCCTTGATGACGACATTATGCGATATGCGATCGAGGTATGCGAGTGCCTGGTCGAAGTCGGAAAAGTTCTCGTAAGCGGCGGTGGGAATCCCGTGCTTCTTCATAAAGTCCTTGGAGAAGGTCTTGCTGCCCTCCATGCGAGCGGCCTCTTTGGAGGGACCGAAGCAGGGAATCGCAGCGTCGCGGAAGTACCCCTCGACGCCATCGACGAGAGGCGCCTCCGGGCCAGGAACAACCAATGTGATTGCATTGGACTTGGCGAATGCAACGAGCGCCGGGTAATCGTCCGCAGCAACGGAGGAGACATTGGTGGTCTTGGGACAGGTCGCAGTGCCACCATTGCCCGGAACCGCAAAGATGGCCTCAACGGTGGGGGACTGGCTCAACTTCCAGGCGAGCGCATGTTCGCGACCGCCATTACCAATCAGCAAGATCCGCATGGTAGAAGCCATCGCAATGGTTGGCAAATTTTGAAGCGATATCGGTAGGTTGAGTGATGGAGGGGTGACTGGGGGACAAAAAAAAATTCCCCCACTTGCCTGATTGTGTTGATGGGTGCGGAAGCAAGCGGGAACTGAACTACCCCTCTGTCAACCCCACATTGCGACAGATAAGAAGATAAGATATGGATAAGCAGCTCACTTGATGACTGAGCTTCGTGCGAGCTTGGTTGACGGCCTGAGGTGCAAGCAGACCTGGTGTCGCAGCGTTGAATCCTGTGACGACCTCCTATTGCTCCAAGGTCTCACATTCTCACCAAACGCAAAAACAACAACAGCACACTCAAGCCTTCCGCAGTATCAACTGAACTCCGGTAGCGTAAGTTTCCTGATTTTGTTCAATCACAACTCCGATTGACACCCAGTTCCTCTCAGATCTGCCAAAATGGACGCCTCGCGACAAGGAATCGAAAACTCAGACCTCGAAAAACTCAACGACAAGGACAAGCAGGAGCTTCGTCAGTTCCTTGCCAACGAGTCACAAAGATCGCAGATCCAGTCCCGTGCGTCCCCCACTGCCTACGGCCACTCGTCCGCCGCCACTTGATCGTCCCTGCAGATACAGGCGTACTGACCTGTCGTAGAAACACATGCGCTCACCGAGATCTGCTGGAAAAAGTGTGTCACGGGCTCCATTCGAGGATCCAAGCTGGACAATGGCGAGGAGAAATGTCTAGCAAACTGCGTCGACAGGTTTTTGGACGTCAACTTCTTGACCATGAAGCACCTGAACAGCATGCGTTCTGGTTAAAATAAAGATTTTGTACAAAAACATGACGGCATCACTGTATCATTAACAGTGGAATATCTTGTGTGTACTAAATTGACAACGTTCGTCGCATGCGCAGTCCAAAAGAGCTCGAACTCCACCCTGTGGACGGGACATAAACAAATCATAGGGGCATCGTCACCGCAATTCATGTTACAAAGACTCAGCGATTCGGCGTTCATGTGGATTGTGGACGTGTTTTCGGTACGCGTGCCGACTACACTAAATCGACGTGTCGATTGTGTTTGGGTGCCTATGGTGTTGCCACACCAGGCGTTTAAAATGACAACCTGTGACGCCCTATGCCCATGCTTTGCGAGTGAAAGTCCTCCACCGAGTAGACCGAACAGACCGATACCAATCACCTTTTAGACGAGGGCCAGCTTGGTGGCAGCAATGTCGAGGGCATCGACGTCGGGCGTAAGGCGGGCGTAGGCCTTCTTGGAACCGTCGGGGCTTCACTTCGGTTAGTTGTGGGCAGCGCTGACTTGGGGTTGATTCCAACACATACCGGACGAGGGTGTTGATCTTGACAGTGTCAATGTCGTAGAGCTTCTTCAGGGCCTGCTTGATCTGGGCCTTGTTTGCCTTGATGTTGACGATGAAGACGAGGGTGTTGTGCTCCTCGATCTTCTTCATGGCGCTCTCGGTGTTGAGGGGGTGGATGATGACCTTGTGCTCATCGAGACGGGGCTCGTGAGGGATCGACTTGCGGGGGTACTTGGGCGAGCGCGAGACCTGGAGGGTCTTGGGCAGGTGGAAGCTGGTTGTGTACCTGACCTTGGTCTTCTTCTGGGAGTTGGTCTGCGCATCGAGCATTAGCGGACCGCGTGAGAAACACACTCAGTAGAACGGCGATTCCGGCACTTACACCCTTGAGGGCAGCCTTAGCAGCAGCGTTGGCCTGCTTGGAGCCCTTGGGCGCCTTGGAGGCGCCACCTAGATTAGAGAAGAAGCATCAGCAATCGCTCTGTGAAGAACTCGCAAAGTCTGCTGCTGCATGATGCCCAGGCAACTGGTGTCGAAAATGCCGGAGTAACAAATTGGTGCGGCGACGCATATTGCGCAAAAAGGATTTTGGGGTCAAGTTGTATTACCCTTGGTCTGCGTCTTGGGAGCCATTTCGACGATGTTGCTGGACGTGTTAGGCGGGTTGGGCGTGTCGGATGGTGTCGAGGTCAGTCGCTGAAGGGGAACTTTTTTTCTCTTTCAAGCAAACGAGTGAAGTTTGTGTGTCGATATTCGAAAAGCCGCTAGGGCAGCGGAGAGGGCCCGCTTACCGGGAATTGTGATTGGTAGGCATGGTGCTAGAGCGGGACCGAACCATCGGATCACGTGAGGAAGTGTCCTCAACCAACTGCGGAATAATTCCCTGACGTAGGCAATGTCTGTGGAGTACTGAGCTGGAGGGAGACCAGGCAAACATACTGGTCCATGTGACAAGAAGGCTCTAATTTTCACCTCTCAGACTACAGGAGCTCAAGTGCATCACCAGCTTTCGCAGTTTCACATACCACCAGCAAGTTTCTGTCGTGCCTTACTCGCCCAGTATGGCGAGGAAACAGAGACATGCGACCACAAGCTTATCTCGAGGCCGCCCCCCAACTCTACAGCGCAAAGTTCATTCGATATCCAGGAAAGAAACTCGGACGCTCATCAACGCCCACCACACACTCCAGAAGAGACGGCAACAAGCCATCTCGCGCAATGACAGCGTTCTAGTAGCAGCTATCGAGGCAGAGATTTCGTCCCTTGGCGGCATCGCAGAGTATCAACGGGCCAGCCTTCAAGGGCAGAGAAACGATAGGGGCGGCGACAGCTCCAAAGTACTTCTTGAGTGGCTGAAGCCTGCTATCACACAAATGAAGGCGGCCTCATCGGTACCAGATCAACACTTTCGCATGCTCGAGGTGGGAGCACTGAGCACAGAAAATGAATGCTCGCGAAGTGGCTTATTTGAGATGAAACTCATCGATCTCAATAGCCAACACGACGATATCCTTCAACAAGACTTTATGGAACGCCCTTTGCCGACGAAAGACAGTGAACGGTTCGAAATCATCTCACTTAGCTTGGTCCTCAACTACGTTCCCGACCCTGTCCTACGGGGTCGAATGCTGCATCGCACCTTGGCATTCCTACGTGAACCACGGATCGACCTGCCTAGGGAAGGCAGCGCAATCTTTCCGGCACTGTTTCTCGTGCTTTCTCGTAGTTGTGTGCACAACTCGCGATACTGTTCACTCGAACGTTGACTGAACTCATGCTCTGCTGGGCTACACGTGCATACAGACCAAGTACACCAATAAGGTATGGCGTACTTCCTTTGGAGGCGGACAGAGCCACCTCGGAATCCTTTGACGATTTTCCCCAAGAAAAGAGGTCAATGCCGGGGGAGATCGCAACAACTTCGCCATTGTTCTCAATAAAGCATGAATTAATGGCGTCAAATTTATCCACCTGCAGACTACCCGTCGCTACAGCGTCGGTGCTTCTCCATCGCCCTGATACAGAATATGCCGTGAGAAGCATGCCCAAACTAGGATGCGGGCAGAGGGATAATGCGATACTCGACTGCGTGTCTGAGTCGGCATCAAGAGCTCTTCGAAGATTCGTTCCGCTTCCCACCGACGGCCAGGCCCTCGAAGGTTTGAACGGCCTGGCCTTCGCCCACATGGCATTCCGGTAGCGGGGCGTTGCCCGGGCGCACCACGACAAGACTGTGCATTCCAGCTGCTCGTGCGGCGGAAACCTCATCCACGTTGTCGCTCAAGAAAAGCCATTCCTGAGGTTGAGTGTCGGGATATCTGGAGAGAATGCTCGTATAGCTGCTAGATTCCATCTTCATCCCAGCGTTGACCGTGTCGAACCAGTCCGAGATGATGGGAATCAAGCTGGGCGGTGAGGCATTGGTATGCCCAAAGAGAAGCTTCTGCGCAGGAACCGAACCGGACGAGTAAATTATGAGCTTGATGCCAGCATCGTGCCAAGCCCGCATGCTCGGAGAGACGTCTGGAAAGAGGGGGGCTTTGATATCCCCTGATTCGTAGCCTGCTAGCCAGAGGTAGCCTTGCAAGGCCTTGAGGTATGAGACCTTGACATCACGCTTGACAAGGTCCGCAACGTGGGCCTCGAAAACTGGCCTTGAGGACGCTGCTGGCTCAGGGAAGGCGTTGCGGTACGGAGCAAAGTCTGGACTATCCCACTTCTTGTCTAGAGTCACAGGCAGGGCTTGAAGTGCGTAAGGAAACTGAGCAAAACCACGTCGTCAGCTATGCCATGTCCACTCACATGCTGCCTGGCCATGCCATCTAAGGCGGTGAGTTGGCTCAGCGGCCCAGGCGACGTAGACCAGATATCGACGAAGAACCTACCAGGACATCCTTGACGAAAGAAATCGGACAAACAGTCCCCTCTGACAGGAACACAAATCATCAGCCTCTCACATCACACTACCAAACCACGGGGCGAGGGGCCAGGGGAGCCAATGGAGGGAGTAATGTAAGATTGGGAGGTGAAAGGGTGCGGATGGGCGGAACCCACCAATGTCCAGCAAGACAACCTTCACGGCCGCCAAGTCGGCCGCGGACGTAGTTGCGGTCGCGGACGCCATGCCGGGTCTCGATCGGGCCAGGGAGAACGGTAATGGCAACGGCGGTGAGAGACCAAGTTGCACCGTGGACGGGGGTGTGCGGGAGGCTGAACGGAAAATAGATGTACGAAATTTTTCACCGGCTAGGAAGAAGCGGTGCGCTGTAATGGTATTCTTGGTTGTTCGATCTCTGGCCCCCGGTCAACAGAAAATTTTCACCACCATTCCTAGGTCAAACAGTTCACGATGATTCGACTACCCCAATGGTGTGGGTGGTAGTTGGGAGACTCTATTCATGCAGGAGAATGGGCACAACGAAATTAGGAGAAGGCGGTCAAGCAGCCAGTCTCGGTATCGCTGCCGGAAGCAAGTGTAGTGACAGATGGAGGAGCCAGGGACCTGCATGGTCTGGAGGTTGGGGGGGTTAGGGGAGTCGGCTGAAGGCTCGACGGTGGACCATTGGCGGGTCCAACTACCACTGACCAACCCTCCTCCATCCAAGACAGGACGACTGAGGGCCACTCTCCTTCCGAAAGTGCTCCCTGAAATGAACCACAGCTTCAGCGTCCCAGCCACTACTGGGACACTACTGGATACTTGGATACGTCGATAGGAAGTGCAGGACCACACTCCCTTTTGATGGGGTCCGACGCATCACTGAGCTCCACCCGACTGCGTTGTCGAGGCGAAAAGGTGTCACACTGCACCCAGCCCCGGCTTCGAGCTTGAGGCCCTCCTGCCTGCCACTCACATCACACTCGTTGGCTCAGGTAGGAGGACCGGACAGTAGTGGACGGGAGGTGGGCCTGCCACAGCATCGTGCATCCTCCAGTATGCAGCCGATGAGGGTCTTCCTACATACAAATGCCATTCATCGTACATGCTGCGTGGTAGGGGTCAGGTATGGGTGCAGGCTACTAGCATCAGACGGACTCGTCCGCCCCGCGGTCGTGTCTGCTCTTGATTTGCCTAGAAAACAATCAGTGGCAGATAACGAACCGGGTGGAAAGATTGTCGTTATCAGCTTCCAAGCCAGAAACGCAGCGTCATTTGGGGGCCTGGATGGAACGGGGTGCTCCGTGCGTGGGTACGTGATGGTACGGGTAGGAAGATCATGCCGGGTAAGGTCGCTCGCTACCTGCCTACTTTGCTCAGGTACCGAACGGTATGACTATGACGAAAGATGAAGACGGAAATGGAATGTTCGCAGCGATTCTGTCGTGTCAACCAGCCCCTGGAGTATTACCTAAAGGTAGCCAGTTCTGGGCCTGCACTGTTCTGTCACACGACCAAGCCTCGGGAGGTTGACTCGTTCTTTCTGTTGGGGATAAACCGGGCCCCGGGTGCCATGACGAACCACGACGAACAGGTGACGCTGGTGCAATTCCCCCTCCCTTCCCCTTTCCGGAGCAACGAATCTCAGGCATGCGTGTCTTCACAAACCAGTGCATCTATCTCTGGGTCCTCTGGGTTCTTCTCTTGGATCCTGAATGGTATGGGCACCATTATCTCGCTGGCACTGTGTCTTATCTCCCCCCCCCCCATCCCGTGCGTAGATGAAACGCTCTCACCAAGCTGATCGCTCAAACATTCCCCTCCTGCTGCCCGTTGAACGGATCAATATATTCAGTACACGGAAAAGGGGGATCATGGATCGTCACTTGCTCGCCTGCTGCCGCTACACAACCCCGAGCGAGGTATGGTGCTTGACGCGTCTTTGTTTGAGACTCATGCAGGGACAAAGTTGCTTCCGGCCTGGTCATTGCTCTGCCCAGCGTATTCCCCAGGTTCGACGAGGTACCTGGAGGTCAAGCGTCTCGCTGTAGGTAGGCCAGGTAGGCTGCAGGACGAGATGAGCGCAGTCGAGGGGTCCAGCTCATCATCCCATGTAGGCCAATGGAAGCCTCCATCAGGGACACTGCGGGGCGAGTGAAACAGGGCACTTGAAAGAATGCGGACGCGAAACACGGTGCGGGTTCGGGGAGCAGGAGGCAGTAGATTAGCAGATTACGGACAACAGACGAAGGAGCACGAGCAGAGAGGAAGTGCCAGAGGGACTGCCGCATTCGTTCGAACTGGTCCAACCTTGAAGGGCCAAGGTCCAGGTCCAGGTCCGAGTCCGGGTCCAGCCCAGACACAGACAGTGTGGGTTGCGTGTCTTGCCGAACGGCAGGAACCAGAGCGATACGAAGAGAACAGGTAGCGAGCCCAGCGCCGGAAGCGACTGCGACGACCTGGCCAGGGCGTACCGTCTAGTACCTGGCAGTGTTGGCGGTGAGCGAGCCCTGGCAGCCTGTTGCTCACTTGACGCATGGTCGTACCCCACACGGTCCCGAGCCCGATACTGCACACGGCCTGGGGAACATGTCTGTCGCCATCGGCTACCTGATGTATCGCGCCTCGTGCCCCGTCTAGCTTCGTAGTTCGTTACGACAACGTGTCATGCCGACAGTGCGCAAAGTGCAACCCATGTTTGTTTACTTGTCCCTCAACTTGGCTGCTCACTGGCTGTCGCACGGTCGCAGCCACCTCACCTGGGCTGCTGGGCTTGCGTCGTCGCTCTATCCTGCACGCCGGCCCCATCGACCCACCCCATAGCGCCATCGCCATTCCCATGCCCCCCGTTGCTCGACCCAGTCGACCAGTCAAGCCAGGCCTTCCTCCTGCCCTGCCGCCGCTGCCACCGCCCTTTCCGTCTCGTTCCTCGCCCTCCCCCAGGCTTCCAGCTCCCAGATCCCACCACCCCATCGTCTCCACTCCTCTCTCTCTCTCTCTCTCTCTCACCCGTCTCGCTCGCTCTCTTGCTGGCTGCTCTCTCCTCTTCCTTCCCTGTCTGTCACTCTTCCGAGCTTCCCACCCGCCACATCCGCATCGTCTCTCCTTGTGCCTGCACCTTCTCTCACCTCTCTAATACATCGTCTCCTCCGCCCCTGCTACCCTGTCTTGCTTTCCTCATCTCTGTCCTTCTACCGTTGATAATCGTTACCCCCCCTCTCTCGCCCTCCTTTTTCGTCAAAGAGGCCTCTCCTTCTGTCGGTGCAACCTCGCACATTTCCCT